AGGAATAATGAAGGCATTTTGTTCTGCTATCTAAACACTTTATCCTTTGTTACCCCTTTTGAGCCTTATTTATTTCCTTTCATACCCCTCTTTTGGAATTAGTAGCAAAATTCAGAACATACGAACGCAAAAAGTAAGTAAAGAAGTTAAAAAGGAAAGAAGAGAGAAAAGAAAATGAAAAAATGGAAAAAGAATGAAAAGAAAGAAATAAAGAGAAAAGAAAAGAAAAAAAAGAAAGAAGAAAGAAAGAAAGAAAGAAAGAAAAGAAAATAAAGAAAAGAAAAAAAGAAGAGAAAGAAAGGAAAAGAGAAGTAACAATAACAAAGCAATTCCTATGAAAAGAACTACGTTTGACCTGATTCCTTTTAAGGATAGGTAGGAAGCATCACGGTTCGGTCCCATCAAAATAAAAATTCAAACGTCCCCAAGCAAAGAAACTGTGGCAGAAGTTGTAGTTATTATAAGAAATCTGATTCCAAAAGTTGTAATTTTGGACCCTTTCAAATTGTTTTGACCCTTTTGATATCCTTTCTTTCTAACCCTATCCAAAAGCCCATATTACGGTCCAAAGAAAGACCTTCCGATCAGTGTTCGAGAGATGCCAAGTCGAGCAGGTAGAGGTGATTCATATCAGGGACAACATTCCGTTCCGAGCAAGCAAATGAAAATGAGAGAGTCTTATTGGTGAAAACCCTCACGGGCACCGTAAGGCGACAGAAAGCTGAGAGAAATTAAAAATAAAAGAGTCTTATAGGTGAAAACCTTCGCAGGCACCATAAGGTGACAGTGAGTTTGAGAGATGAAAAAATGAAAGAGGTTTGTTGGTGAAAACCCTTCAGGGCACCGCATGACGGATAAGGTTAGTGATTGGCCAAAGAAATTGGGTTATGAAGGTCCTAGGGCACATGGTATGACATCTGAAAGATGATTGATTGAATAGATTGGGCTGATTAATCCGAAATACATGTCATGATCATTGGTACCAGCTGCTCCACTCAGATAAGTCTCTTTTCCTTCTCTCCCTCAAACAGTCATCCAGATTTGGATTTTCTTTTATTCCCAACTCTCAAAGTCATTGCATTTCATTTCTTTAGGGTTTATTTCTCTAAGGTTTCTTTCAATGTCAGCCTTGTTTAAGCAAGTAAGGAAGGTTTTCAAATCTTACTACCAACTTCCAAATTGCACAAAGTAAAGTGCGGCCAAAACGTGCCAGAAATAACATGATGTAAAAAATAAAGGTATGGGGTTAATGAAAGTTCAAGAAGTCGAGTGGTTTGTACATTTCGGGGAATATACAGAGGTTCATGTAGAAGGGTCAGAAATGTAAAACAACGGTTTGGGTGTAAAGCACTCGGGTCATCCAAGGTCCTGCGATTGAGAGTCAGTCAGAAAGTCAAACGGTTCTAGGCCAGTTCAAGGCAACCAATCAAAGCAAAGCGCGGCAGTGGAGAGGCCACCTTCAACAAGAATGCCACAAACTAACCACCTTGTTTTAAACTGACAAGACGTTTCTTTGATTTGAAATAGGGGCAGAAAATTTTGTTTGTTTCGGAGAAACCCTCCATAAGGAAATCAAGTACTGGACAGGTTTGATCATAAATTTTCAGGACCCTCCTGGACAAAGGGACTTAGTTAAAATTCAAACATTCATGATTAACAAGATCTAGCATAAGCTCTACTTTTAGAAATATAAGTTGGTTTTGAAGTTTTCATTCTTAGGACGAGACTCAATTGGATATTTTCAGGACCCTCCTGGATAATGGAATTTAGTTTTAAGACCTTCATAGATAACAAGATTTAGAGAAAGTCATACCTTTAGAAAATATAATTTAGCTTTAAAACTGTCATTTTACTAGGAGTTTTCAGGACCCTCCTAGATAATAGGATCTAGCTTTCAGATTCTAAGGGATATTTGGTAACATGGTGCAATTAACACTCACCGATGTGCCCCGCTACCAAATTGGGGCAGAAACTTTTCTTTGTTTTGTCTGTCCGAGTTGGAAATCAGGCACCCACCTGGAGAACAAAGGGAAAACAATTCGACTGTTGGTAATCAGGAACCCACCTGTAGAACAAAGGGAAGCAATTCAAGTTTCGAGGAAAAACAGTGCAAGTGATGGAAATCAGGAGCTCACCTGGAGAACAAAGGGAAAGTAATTCAAGCGTTGGTAATCAGGTGCCTACCTGGAGAACAAAGGGAGAGCAATTCAAGTTGAAATCAGGAGCCCACCTGGAGAAAAAGGGAAAATGGTTCAAGCTTCAAGGGAAAATAGTTTCAAGTAACAAGAGGAGATGGGTCAAGTCCAGCAGTCAGGCGCCTACTTGTAAAATAAGGGAAAATGATTCGAGTTTCAACGAAAACCAGGTCAAGTTCATCAATCAGGCGCCCACCTGGAGAACAAGGAAAAACAATTCAAGTTTCAGGGAAAGACAGGTCAAGTTCAGCAATCAGGCGCCCACCTAGAGAACAAGGGAAAGCAAGTCAAGTTTCAGGGAAAGACAGGTCAAGTTCAGCAATCAGGCGCCCACCTGTAGAACAAGGGGAGACAGTTCAAGTTTCAAGGGAAAGCAGTTTCAAAGGAAAGCAGTTCAAAATTTTGCAATCAGGCGCCCACCTGGAGAACAGGGGAAAACAACTCAAGTTTCAAAGGAAGACAATTCAAGTTCAGCAATAAGGCACCCACCTGGAGAACAAAGGAAAACAGCTCAAGTTTCAGGGAAAAGCATTTCGAGTTTCAGCAGTCAGACGCCCACCTGGAGAACAAGGGAAAATAACTTAAGTTTCGAAGGAAGACAGTTCAAGTTCAGCAATCAGGTGCCCACCTGGAGAACAAAGGAAAACAGCTCAAGTTTCCAAGGAAGACAGTTGAAGTTCAATAATCAGGTGCCCACCTGGAGAATAAGGGAAAAAAGTTTCAAGTATCAAGGGAAAGCAGGTCGAGTTCAGCAATCAGGCGCCCACCTGGAGAACAAGGGAAAGCAACTCAAGTTTCGAAGGAAGAACGTTCAAACTTAACAATCAGGCGCCCACTTGGAGAACAAAGGAAGGCAGTTCAAGTTTCAGGGAAAAGTATATCGAGTTTCAGCAATCAGGCGCCCACTTGGAGAACAAGGTAAGGAAGTTCAAGTTTCAAGGGAAAGCAGTTTCAACGGAAAGCAGTTCAAGTTTCAAGGGAAAACAGTTTCAAAGGAAAGCAGTTCAAGTTCAGCAGTCAGGCGCCCACCTGGAGAACAAGGGGAGACCGTTCAAGTTTCAAGGGAAAGTAGTTTCAAAGGAAAGCGGTTCAAGTTCAGAAATCAAGCGCCCACCTGAAGAATAAGGGAAAACAGCTCAAGTTTCAAAGGAAGACAGTTCAAGTTCAGCAATCAGGCATCCACCTGGAGAACAAGGGAAAGCAGCTTATGTTTCAGGGAAAAGCGGTTCAAGTTCAGCAATCAGGCACACACCTGGAGAACAAGGGAAAACAGCTCAAGTTTCAAAGGAAGACAGTTCAAGTTCAGCAATCAGGCATCCACCTGGAGAACAAGGGAAAGCAGCTTATGTTTCAGGGAAAAGCGGTTCAAGTTCAGCAATCAGGCACACACCTGGAGAACAAGGGAAAACAGCTCAAGTTTCAAAGGAGGACAGTTCAAGTTCAACAATCAGGCACCCACCTGGAGAACAAGGGAAAGAAGCTCAAGTTTCAGGGAAAAGCAATTCGAGTTTCAGCAGTCAGGTGCCCACCTGGAGAACAAGGGAAAACAACTCAAGTTTCAAGGAAAACAATTCGAGTTTCATCAATCGACCTGGAGAACAAGGGAATGCAGTTCAAGTTTCGAAGGAAGACAGTTCAAGTTTTAGAAATCAGGCACCCACCTGGAAAACAAGGGAATTCACTTCAGAATGTAATTCAAGTCAGCAACAAAAGAAGCTCGCGACAAGAATGCGGGTCAACAGTCTGAGATGACCAACAAAAGTAGCCTCAATCTAGAATATAAAAAAGAGGGGAAAAAGAAAAAAAAGAAGTGTATCCAAATTCAGAAGTTTGATGAAAGATGTGAGATGCTCAAGACATGGCTGAGGTCACAAGCACTGCATGTCCGATCTTGATCCGAAAAGCTGAAGAAGAATGAACTAGCACCTGCAGCTAAAAAATACCAAGGTTCAAATCTAGAGTCTGCATGAAGAGTCATTCAAGACTCAAGATCAAGCTTCAGAAGACTTATAGATAGGAATCTTGTAACTCATAGTTGACAGGCTTAGCTAGTATTTTTCATTATTTGATTTTTGAGTAATAATAGGACTATGGAACGACACCTCGACCGGCTCTCCACCTCGGTATACTCCATCATCTCACTCACTTCTAAACTACACGTGGCCTGATTCCTTTATAGCCAAGGATATATAGGCAGCTCAGATACCAGAGCTCGGTCATATTCCCCTTTTCTCTTAGTTTTAGTCTCTCTAAATAGGGGTCGGGTTAAAAAACCTTTCTAGTCGTTCTTTATCTGAAAATTCTTCATGTTCCCAGTCAAAAAGGGGCAGCTGTAGACAAGTGATTTTTGACCCTCCCCAAGATTTTTTATATTTTAGCATGTAAATATTTAGTTTAGGCCTAATATCACTATTTCAACTAATTTTGACTCTTTTACTTTATTTCGTCACAAAAAATAAAAATGACAAAAATACTTTAGTTTACGTATATTTCATAAATTCAAATAAAAAATAATACAAAAATAGTACCTTATCTTTATTTTCATATAATCTTGAAAACACAAAAATAGTTTCATGTTTTAATATAGTTTAGTTCAATTAATTAAGACTAGTTTTATATTATTATATTATAAATTGTATATTTAGAAGGAAGAGTTAGTCTTGGGTTAATTTGTCCTATTTTAATCTTGTAGTCCATTTTTTTTAGTCTTTGGCCCAATTTTAAGGCCTAATAATACCAAACTCATACCCCTTAACCTAAAAACCCTCTCTATATAACCAAAATTAGCCTAAAAAATACCTAGACTCTAAGACCTATACCCGTATAGCTATCCGCCGTTCTTCTTCTAGATTTGGACGAACATATACAAAATAAGCATCTAAAGAAGCAGCAGAGAACAATTTCGAACCCCACCCCATACGACCCTCCTCCTCTCCTTCACATTCCAATGGCTTGAACCTCGGTTTCTTCATCCCTAAACCTTCAGCAACAACCAACGTTCACCAGTTCTATACGCAACACCACCGCAACAACCACCCATCGCCACTGCTTCTTTTTCTTCATCTATCACAGCTACAACAGCCATGGACCTTTAGGAAAACCTCTCACCTCACACCAAACAACCCCATCTATGCCTCTACCATATCGAACCAGCAGCCATACACACACACGCACACACATAGAGTGAGAAGACGAAATAGAAGGCACATGAGAAAGAGATGTTGAAAACAGAGAGAGCAAAATCTCCCATCTTCTTTTCGTCCTAAGCTCCGTCAAAAATCAGTTTGTCACTATTCTAACATCTAAAACTAATTCGCAAGACAACTACAAAATAGAGCACATAAAAAGTTCTGTTTCATCTTCCTTGTTTCGGATTTTCGCTTTTCCAAGATGGAGTTTGAGTGAGGTCGGTTTCGTTCGAGTTGCCGGCATGGTTCCAGCGCTGCTGCTTCTTTTCTGTTCGAGCAGGTTTTCTTTATTTTTGTCCATTAGTTTGTTATCTTTTGTTTGTTCAAAGTTTAGCAAGAACATGTTTGCTCCCTTTTAATCCATAAGCAACAATAGTTTTTCTGCTCCTGGTTAGTTTTCTTAAAATAATTTAGTTATATTTAATGGTTTAGTTTTATAGGAAAGTTAGTTCCATGATTAGTTAAGGCTTGAATTTTTCATTATTCATTATTAGTTTAATATAATTTGGAGAAAATCTCTAAAGTTTCATGAAGTATTAGTTGTAAAAAATAAAGATGTTTAAGAATGGAGCTGTGATTATCTCAAAGATTCGGTCTTTTAGGATGGACTGATTTGAAGAGTTAGTTTGGACCTGGGTTTAATTGATAATGGGCTAGATTATAAAACAGACTATTAGCTAAGATATTTGGGCCATGCGATGGTAAGAACCTGATTATTTGGAGTTTAAATGGGACATAGACATATGCAAGGACCCTGTGGTATAAAACTTGAGCCATACATTTTAATCCATTCTAAAATAAGTAATTAGACAATTTAACCAGCCAAGTATGATCAAAGCAACCGTGCTAAAATTACAGAACCCGGGAATGCCTAACACCTTCTCCCGGGTTAACAGAATTCCTTACCTGGATTTCTGTGTTCGCGAACCGTAAACAGAGTCAAACTTCCTCGATTTGGGATTTTAAACCGGTGATTTGGGATACCATAAATTATCCCAAGTGGCAACTCTGAATTTTAAATAAAATAATCTCGTTTCCACGTCACTTTAATTGGAAAAACTCCCTTATACTACTTTCGGGGTGGTAAAAAAGAGGCGTGACACATGGTCGCGGACCTGCCCATGCGATCGCATAAAAGGAAACCAGTAACAAAATACCAGTAGTCTTCAACTGAAATGCCAAGTCCAATATTGATCCGTTAACTATCTGAAACTCACCCGATGCCCCAAGGACCTCAACCAAACATACCATCGTCTCCCAAAATATCATACGAATTTATTCGAGCCCTAAAATCACCTCAAACAACATCAAAAACATGAATCACACATTGATTCAAGCCTAATGAACTTTAAACTTCCAATTTCTATTAACGACGCCGAAACCTATTGAATCACATCCGATTGACCCTAAAATTTGTACACAAGTCACAAATGACACCTTGGACTTACTCCAAATCCCAAAATTCCAATATGCCCTTGATATCAAGAAGTCTACTCCCAGTCAAGCTTTTCAAATTTCCAACTTTCACCATTTGAAGCCTAATTTCACTACGGACCTTCAAATCACAATCCGGATATGTTCCTAAGTTCGAAATCACCCAAAGGGCTAACAGAACCATCAAAACTCCATTTTGGAGTCATTTGCACGTAAGTCAATATCCTGTCAACTTTCTCTACTTAAGCTTTCAACTTTGAGACTATGTGTCTCAATTCATTTCGAAACCTCTTCGGACCCGAACTGACAAACCCGACAAGTTACAAAAAGGAACAATAAATGGGGAAACATGGCTAGAACTCTCAAAACAATCGGTCGGGTCATTACAATATCATATCATTTCAACGCTGCTGTGGTGTGCAGCCTAATCCCACAATATCAATTCATATCAATATCGTTGCAGCGCGCAATCCGATCCCAACAATATTAAATTATTAACATAAACAACTCAATACCAATATTTAAGAAATATCAAAACCAAAAAAGATGGAGCACACAATACATTTATGACCCACCAATACGAATGGAAGATATCCAACACATCGATATTCTAAGCCTTAACAACTCATTATACAAGAATGGCTAAATGACTCACGAAAGCAAAATAACATAATAGAGTACATCTATTAATAGAAGGACAATAAAAGTAGGTAAAACATGTGATAATGAGAATATACAAATAAGGCAAGTAGGAACAAATAGCAAGTAAGCAGATTATTGAATGAGAAATGAACAAATCAAGTAAATAACAATGAAGTAACAAGTGAACAAGTAAAACATAGATGTCAAGTGCAATAATTAAAGCATATAACAAGAAATAACATTGAATGACAAAGATATGGAAATAAATTGCCCACTCTCTCATGCTAAATTCCACAACGGTGCATATAAACTCGACACCTCGGATATGCGACGTTTCTCCACATAATTCACATAGAAAATGGATCAACGGGTCCTAATTTCCTCAAGTCAAGGTTATACACAATACTTACCTCTTTCCGCAACCAAATTAACACTCAACCACGACCGTTTTTTAAGTCAAGTCCGGTCCCGCCCGGTCAAAACCCGAGTTCAAGTGTAGATCTTGACTACCTATAACCCCACGAGTTTATTTATGTATTTTATTTCAAAATCCAAGTCCAATTCAACTCTAAAATTCCAAATTTTTATTTTTTAAAAACATAGATAAAAATCTCCAAAATTTCTATTATATTATCATGAATTTGATGTTAAATCTAATGTATAATCGTGTAATATAATTGAAAATAGATCAAAATCAATTACCCAATAATTGTAGGTAAAAATCCCCTCTCAAAATCGCCTCCTACCGAGTTTGGGGTTCCAAAATGAGAGCATGAGACTCAAATCTCGATTTTCAGACCTTATGTTCAGGCGCATGTGTTGTAATTGCATTTACGGGTTTGTAATTGCGAGCCCTCACAATTGCAAAGAATGACTCGCAATTGCAGTGCCTGTTATTCAAAACGGAAGGTACAAATTCGACATTGACTTCGCAATTGTGATGTCTGCTCCCATTGCAAATGCGCCCAAAGCTTCACAAATGCGATGTTGTCCAAAGTTCCAGAGGTCGCAAATGCAACCAAGATGATCGCAAAAGCGGTCCCAGCCAATTTGTGATTGTGAACCATTTCCTCACAAATACAATGCCACCTAGCCGAGGCCACTACTCACAAATGCAAACTATTGTTCGCAAAAACGATGCTTGCAAATCTGAGCCCGACCTCACAATTGCTAAGCACTGCACCAACAATCCTCAAATCAACAATTGTAATGACTTGGCCGGTTGTTTTAAAAATTATCGTCTTGTTCGACAACGTAAGGTATCGAGCAGCTTTGAATTATGTGTTATCACTTGCATGTGTGCCCGAGTTTAGTTTTGGAGGATTCAAGGTCAATTTGGAAGAAGGATTCTTGTTTTAGAATCTTAAGCAATAAGAGTTAACTGCAGTTTGATTTTATGTAGACGACTCTAAAATGGTGTTTTGATGATTTTAATAGCTTCGTATGCTGATTTTGGACTTAGGCATGCGTTCGAATTTAGATTCAAAGGTTCGTAGGATAATTTGAAGCATTTCTGCTAAATTGGAAAGTTGAAGTTTTAAAAGGTTAAGAGGTTTGATCAAGAGTTGACTTTGGTGATATCGGGATCGGAATGCAATTTCAAGAGTTTGATTAGTTGCTTTTATGCCATTTGGAATTTGAATGCAAAATTTGACGTTATTTTGAGTTGATTTGATATGTTTCAGTGCTAGTTTTGGAAGTTAGAAGATTGGAAAATTTATAAGTTCGATTCGTAGTACGATTCATAGTTTCGACATAGTTTTATGTGATTTGATACCTAGGGTGGGTCCATGTTATGTTATGGAACTTGTTCGTATATTTCAACGGGATCTCGGGGGTCTCAGGTGTGTTCCGGATGGGCTAGGGCCATTTCTTCATGATTTGAGTTGTTGGTTTCGGGTGTCACTATTGCTCTTCGTGATAGCGAAGATGAAGATGCGATAGCGAAGTGATTCTGGGAAACATAGTATTTTTCTCATCGCGAACACGACAATGGGCATGCATTCGTGAAGGTTTAGCTGGTTGTTGTTCGTGTTCGCGTAGTGTGTTCCGCATTCACATAAGGGAGCTGAGGACTGGTGGAATGTTACTCATTGCATTCGCGAAATATGGTATGCGTTCGCGAAGGTTATGTAATGTGTTCATCGCGTTCGCGAGGTGCTTTTGGAGAACGCATAGCTTATTTCCATGAGTACTGATTTTTTCTTTCCACGATCGCGGGGTGTATTCCGTAGTCGCATATGAGGAATGACTGGGCAGAGTTATAAGAACTCTATTTCGAGGGTTTGGCTATTTTATCACATTTTAAGATAAATGCCTTAGATTTGGGCGATTTTTGAAGGGTTACATTTGAAATTGCTTATAAGAATTCTATATTCGAAATTGTTTACATTTCATGATTTCAAACTTATTTATATCATTAAATTATTGAATTGAAGAGAAGAAAATGGGAAACTTTGTAAAAATTATTCAAAATGTAAAATGAGTATTTGTAGGGCGATTCGATATCAGAATTTGATAATTTTTGTATGGTTGGACTCGTATCGGAATGAGTGTTCATTTTTTTTTGAATTTTATGAGATTTCGAGGTGCGGTCTTGGGGGTTGACTTTTTAGTTTTAATTAAAGATCAAATCTTTATTATCAGGAATTGTTTTCTATGAGTTTTATTTATGATTTGAAGTTATTTTTGCTAGATTTTGGTCATCCGAAGGTTGTTTCACTCAAAAAGGTCATTTTAGAGTATCGGTCTAGCTTATTTGAGGTAAGTATCTTGCCTAACTTTGTGTGAGGGAACTACCCATTAGGATTTCAGTTATTTATGCTAATTGTTTCATGTGAAGGCTACGTACGCGAGGTGACGAGTACGCGCTCGAGCTTATTTGTGGAAATTTGACCATTTAGGGCTCTTAGGTTCTTATGTTCATTAGATATAAAGTTGTTTTGTCATGTTAAATTACCCTACTAAATTCACCCTTACGTGTCTTATTTAAAATTAATTGCTTCATGTTCTACCCTTATTACCGATTAGACTCTTATGTGCCTTAATTGAAGTTGTTGCCTCTTTTATTATCATGCTATCCTTTCTGTAATGAGAGAATGAAGTTTGTTATTCATTTCATTATTGACGTATTCTTATTTGGAGTTAATTATTCATGTTATCTCTATTGTCGTCAAATTGTACTATTGTGGAATAATTGATACACATTATCTCTCCATAGTTGAGCTATTCTTGTGGAGACCATTATCCCCTATTGTGCCTTTCTTTGTGAGCTCGTTCTTTCGTTTCTTTAATTTATGAAGGTCTTGTGATTATTTACTTGCTATATTCTCGTATTATTGTTGTAGTTGTTGTTGTTGTACATTGAGGTTGAGTTGTGGGCTCCTTATTGTGAAATTCTATTATTGCTTGGTTTCTCTAGCAAATTGTGATTGTGGGCACTTGACGTCCGATTGTGATACGTTGTGATATTGATACGCATGCGGTGGTATAAAGTCTGGGTGTTGAAACGCATGGGGTGAGATAAGGTGGGCTTGATACGCTTGACTAGTAGGGGAACTGCTAGAAGCCATACGATTTGATAAGGTGGGATAAAACGTGGAATGCTATTTTGGGAAAAATAATTTTCAAAACTAAATGTAAAGGCTCCCGCAGTGATATAAGAAAAGATTGTGATACATTTCGTTATTTGAGACAACGAGGTGGTACCTCAGTAGTGACTCTTATTGACATTTTCTCATTCTTTTGTACATGTCTTTGATCATTGTTTCCTTTGCATACTATTAATTGTCCTTCTTCGTGTTGCAATATTTGTTTAGTTCTGTGTAGTTGATCTTGTTGTTTACTGTCTTTATTATATAGTACATTTTGTGGTGATCGTTTCTTATGTGCCATTTATTGTTACTACTCTTACTTGTTGACTTGAGTTATGTTAGGACACTTGCACAAGCATACACATGATTTAATCACCCATATAGGTTTAATAAGATGAATCCTGATGTTATAGACCATTTACATGTACTCTCGTCTACTTACCTTCTGTGTGAGAGTTGTTCTACTGGCACTTGAGTGTCTGTATGGTCATGAGTCATTGTTATTGTTGGCACATGAGTGGTCCGTGCGGATATTAGATATTGTCACTCTCTTGGTACATGAATCGCCTGTTTGTTCATGAATTGTAATATGGGCACAAGATGCTAAGTGATTAGGATTCATGAATTGGGACCGGGGATCTGTGATTATGAGATTTGGTACCTCATGGAAATTCTTGAATAAATCTGGTGTGAAAGTGATTATTCTTATTCAGTTGTTATTGATTTTTCTTTTATTTGATTTCATCGGACTTAGATTGTATTTAGCTTACTCTACAACATTATTACCTGTTTGCTTCATATTAAAAATTGTTGTTACTAGTATATCATTGCAAGCATTGTTTTGTACTCCTTACCATGCTTAATTAGCTTTATATTAATATTGTTTCTCTGTTAGTTCGCCTTCATACTTGTTCAGGTTGTTTAGTCTAGTAGGAGTACTATCTCTCGTCACTACTCTACCGAGGTTAGTCTTGATACTTATTGGGTATCACTGTGGTGTATTCATTCTACACTTCTGCATATTTTTGTATAGATCCAGGTACTTCGAAGTTGGTTGTTCACTAGCTAGTTGTTTGGGTTTGCTGTGGAGACTCAAGGTAAACCTATCGTTGCGTTCGCAGGCCTCAGAGTCACCTTCTGAAATTTCCTCTTGTACAGTTTATTTCTATCCCGAACAGTTGCATTTTGGAATTTTCTAGAAAACTTAATAGAGCTTATAACTTGTACTACTGGTTTTGGGATTGTATGTGGTGTATAGAGATTTATATTTCATAGTCATCAGTTGATGGTTGAATTTTACTATTAATTCAGTAAGTGTTGGGCTTACCTAGTCTGAGAGACAAGTTGCCGTCACGACATCCTATGGAGGGAAATTGGGGTCATGACACCGACCTCATCCATAACATATTCGAAACTCATCCGAGCCACTCGGGCTCCAGACCAAACATGCACACAAGTGTAATAACAACATATAAACTCTCTCACACAATCAAATCATCAAAATAACATCTAGAATCACGAATCGGGCATCAAAACGTATTAAATTCAAAAAAAAAACTGAAGAATCTCCAGAATTCCAACCAAACATCTTAATCATGCCAAACCAACTCCGAATTACATTGAATTTTGTAGACAAGTTTAAAATAGCAATATGAACCTATTTCAAGTTCCAAAATAAAAATTCGAACTCGATAACCATAAAGTCAAACTACGATCAAACCTAGAAAATTTCCAAACATACAAATTGCAAACTTTCGACAAAACAAGTCATCCACCTAGGGATCTCCGAATTCAATTCCTGGTATATGCCCAAATCCAAAATCACAAAATCTAGAATTGTCAAAATACAAATCCGGGGTAGTTTACCTTGAATTTTGACCGTGATCAACTCCAGCGTCATTTTTAGTCAACACTCTAATTTTCTTCAAAATTTCACATAAAAACATTTCGAAAAGTGACACAGATCACACACACAAACCAAGAAATATCAAATGAAGCTAAGGAAGTTCTCGAATCATGATAATTAAGGCTAGTACTTAAAGTGACCTATCAGGTCGGCACAACATCCAAGTGCATCTAACTAAGATCTAGAGGATCAGTTGTGGTTGGTGTATAATTAGTTGGAAGATGGGTCATGTTGAAGATAGTGCATTAATGGGGAATGAGCCTCGTGTAATTAGAGGAATAGGGGGAGTTGCTTTAGAGAGAGATAAGAGTTTCTTACTATATTCCATTGTCATATGTGAAAAGCGACTTAGTCTAGCGGACATTACACAATTCTTATTCTCAGTTGGGTATTTTGTTGAGATTTATGACTTAACACTCAATTTGAATTTAGTTTTTTTAGTTAATAAATATGCCATGGCATCATTTTGGATTACTTCAGTTATCATGATTCTTAGTACAACTTAGTTAAGGGTTCACTCAATATATTGCTTAAGTTGAGTGCCAATCATGTAGTACTTTAGCTTTTGGGGCATGACAGTGTCAACCTAACCAAAGCGGCAAAAATATTTCTGCATTTTAAAATGAAAAAAAGATGATACTAAAATTGTATTTATATTTGTATTAATGTTGTTAATATATTATTTCACTTGTTAATAAAATATTTTATTATGTTATCAAGTATTTTTCTTAAATTTAAATGATATTCTCTTTTTTTGGAATACTACATAATATATCATGATTATTGGTGCATTATGTTATAATTTATTTGAGTATGTTAAATAATATTCATAAGATCCCTTGGTATACTACATCGTATACCATGAGGGATATTGTAGGATATACTATGATTACTTTTAAATTATGATTCAACAAATATACTTTATTTATGTTAAATGGTTCCCAATATTTGTGGTATACTTTGTAGTATATCATGATTGCATTTGAATAATGATATACTACAATTACCGGTATATTAAGTGATATCCATAATATTCTTTATATATAGTATACCATGATTACTATTGTGTAACGACCCCGCCGGGCGTTTTAAGAATTAACGCCCCGATCCCCTATTAATTGCTTTCTCCGTATTTGTTTCTGCTATTGTGAGTTACCGGGAGGATTCATTTTGAGTTTCGAAGTATTTTGGGACACTTAGTCCCTCAATGAAAGCTTAAGATTTAGAATTTGGACCGTAGTCAAAGCAGTATAAAGATGGCCTCGGAATGGAATTCCTAGTATTCTGTTAGATCTGTTTGGTGATTTCGGGCTTAGGGGCGTGTACGGATTGTGTTTTGGAGGTCCGTAGCTTATTTAGACTTGAAATGCCGAAAGTTGAATTTTTAAAGTTTCCGGATCGATAGCGAGATTTTGATATCGGGGTCGGAATCCGATTCTAAAAGTTGGAATAGGTCCGTACTATTGAATGTGACTTGTGTGCAAAATTTGGGGTCAATCGGACTTGGTTTGGTTGGTTTCGGCATCGGTTGTTGGATTCTTGAAATTTCAAGTTCTTTAGGTTCTAATTGGAGGGCGATTCATGGTTTTAACATTTTTTGATGTGATTCAAGAGTTGGACTAAGTTCGTATGATGTTTTAGGATTGGTTGGAGTGTTTGGTTGAGGTCCCGGGGGCCTCGAGTGTGTTTCACATGCTCAACGGGTCATTTTTGGACTTAGAGAAGTTTCAGATTTTCTGTTGTTATATTGTAGAGAAAACCTTCATCGTGTTCGCGAGAGGTGTCTCACGTTCGCGTAGAGCATCTGGGTGAAGCAACTGAGTTGTGCTTTGCGTTTGCGATGATGCTCCCGCGTTCGCGAAGGTATGAACCCTTAAGCCTTCGCGTTCGCGACATGGTCCTCTCGTTCACGTAGGGTTCGCCAGCGTAAGCTATGCGTTCGCGAGTGGACCCTCGTATTCGCGAAGGAGGAAGACTGGCCAGTGGATTTTTTTGCATCGCGTTTGCGACAATGGTCTCGCTTTCGCATAGAAGAACGCGTCTGGGCAGAACATAAATTTCAAAATCGAGGGTTTTGGGCTCATATCGCAAAATTGAATTGGGAGCTCGGTAGGAGGAAAATTTTGGAGAGATTTTCGGAGGAAGCTTGTGAGTAATGATTCCTAACTCCTTTTTTCTTATAACCCATTAATCAAATTATGAATTTATCCTCTAATTTAGGATTTGGGGTGAGAAATTGGGAAATATTTTGGAAAAGTTCTTAGGCTTAATTTTGGGGTTTTGATCAAGATTTTTTTATCGGATTGGAGTAATTTTGGTATGGTTAGAATTGTGGGTGAATGGGAGTTCGTAATCCGTAACTTTTATCCGATTTCGAGAGATGGGCCCGGGAAGAATTTTTTAGCTTTTTTTTCTATTTTCTTGCCTTAGATTCGATTTCATTAGCTAAATTAGTTGTTTGTAGTTGTATTTACGTTGTGATATTATTTTGATTAGATTTGGGCAACCCGAAGTTGGATACTCGTGGCAAGAGCGTGACTTCGGGTTGATTTTTGAGCCGGTTCAAGGTATGTGGCTTGTCTAACCTTGTATTGTGGAACTCCCCTTAGGATTTGGTACTGTTGTTATATGAGTGTCGTGCACGTGAGGTGACGAGTGCGTACACGTTCTAATTGTTTAAAAAACCATTTCCATTACGTAAATATCTGTATTTTTCTTGTGACTAAGCAATACTTGTGCTTGAAAACTCATGTTTAGTTTAGGAAAATCATGATTATGTGATTTAATTGTCTTACCTACTTTAGTTGTCTACTTGTACTCTGTGCAGCATGTAAAAGTAGAATTTCCTGTTTAATTATATAATAGAACCATAAATTCTTCTGATATTGTTGTGTGTTCACTTTGGGATTACAGGACAATATCCCGGGGATCCCCTGCTTGTTTACTTTGGGACTACGGATCGGTATTCCGGTAGATCCCCCGGAATATTTATATTTGGAACTACGGGACAGCACCCGGTAGATTTCCCTGTACTGGATATTTACTTTAGGATTACGGATCGATATTCTAGTAGATTCCCTGCACATTTAGATTTGGGACTACGGAACAGCACCTGGTAGATTCTCCTGTATTGGATATATACTTTGGGACTACGGATCCGTATTCCGGTAGATCCCCCTGCACATTTACGTTTGGGACTACGAGATGATATCCTGGTAGTCCCCCTGTTGTTATTTCTGTGTACTGAGTTATATTCTTTCTTTGTCTTTAATTCCTTACCAACTGTTAGTACTTTAATCATACTGGTTCATTTCATACTTCTTACCATGTCATATATATATAACCAGTAGAGCCTTGACCTTCCTCGTCACTACCCGACCGAGGTTAGGCTTGACACTTACTAAGTACCGCTGTGGTGTACTCATGCCCTTTCCTGCACATGTTTTTCATGTGTAGATCCAGGTTCTTCGGCTCAGCCCTATTTTCAGTGAAGCGAGGCGTTCTTCAGAGACTTCGAGGTATATTTGCCGCGTCCGCAGACCGAGGAGTCCCTCTCTATTCACTGTTTTATCTATAGCCCTTCTGTATTTTCCTTTGATTAGACATTCTAGAGTTAGAACACTATGTAGTATCAATAGCTTGTGATTTTATGAGATTCCGGATTTTGGGAGTTGATTCAGTTTGAGAGTGTATACTTGTATATGTCGAGCGACATCTTAAACGTTTTATGTTTTATCCGCAGGTTTTGGCTAGTTTTATCGTTCATTTCTTTTTCCGCAAATTGTTAGGCTTACTTATTCGTAGAGACTAGGTGCCGTCATAACAGTTCACGGAGGGTGAACTTGGGTCGTTACATGTTGAATTATGGTATAATGTGATTATTGGTATATTGAATGACCTTTTCAATATTTGAGGTATACTATATAGTATACCATGCAACAACAATGACCCAGTGAAATCCCATAAGTGGAGTCTGGGGGGGATAGTGTGTACGAAAACCTTACCCTATCCTGAAGGGGTAGAGGGGATGCTTCCGAAAGACCCCCAGCTTAAGAGGACAAAAGGAAAAAAGGAGATAATATATGTATCACCACAAAAATCATAGGAATAATAGGAACAACATGAAATCCAGAGGAAATATGCAAAGTAAAAGCGACAGCTAGTATATAGTATACCATGATTGCTGTTAAATTATGATATACTTTGTTTGAATATATTGAGTGGTATTCAAATATTTGTAATATAATATGTAGCATACCATAATTATTGTTGAATCATGGTATTCTTGATTTGAGTGTATTAGATTATTTTTCAATATTTTTGGCATAATACACATTGATATATCATAGTTTATTAATTATGCTATTTCTAATTTTCTTGGTATACTT